AGTAAAATAGTATTTTGGTCTCAGGAACGATTTTTGAAATGACAATACATTTGGTTTTTATGGTACAGTGAGCCATAAAATTTTGCGTATAACATCTTTTTGATTGAATGTACGTTTTCAATGCCAGGTGCCTCTAAATTAAGTGGTCCCAATCATTTGATTCAGAAGCATCTAGCCTCTAAATTCGGATGCCTGTGAAATCAGGTGGTATAAGATGAGGAAAACAGATTGGCTTGTTGATAATATGCAACTAGTGAAATAAAATCTCAGTATAATGGATATTCCAACAATTTGGAGGACATGTCCGATTATCATGAAGGATGAATCTTATTGATCTGTGTTCAAACCAAACTCTAAAAATGCAACTTGAAAGCATGATTTTGGCGGAGTTTTTATGCGCAGCACGAGACAGGTTTGCAGAGACTACGTGTATTCATTCCATTAGCAATACCATACTTTCAGGAATCTGGATTTATTTCTCATTTGTCTATCATGTCAAAAGCTAGGAATCAACTGAATCCACAGGTAGACCTGCAGATCACAAATAGCCGGACGTTTACACATTTCGATAAATTACTGAATGAGAATCAAGAGACCAGATTTCATTAAATTTTATGTTCATATTCGCGATTCATTTTACTATTTACATTATTTTAAAATTAAAATTAAATTGATCGGTTTATACAAGGCGGCCACTGAAAGACTGAATTATATAAAACAAAAAATACTTTTACAAACACATGAATCTTTTGGGGTTGTATTTTAAAACCCAATTTTAGAATCTTCTGAAGCAATGTTCTGACGATGCTTAGTTGAGGAAAGTGACGACGTGTATAAGCTGATGGATCATGAAGAACACTCTGCCATAGAGCTTCAACAATGATTTTAGGAACTCATCCTGTAAGAACGCCGACTGATCCAGTTCTTTCAAACAGGGCAATTATGTTCCGAATCATGTTATGGCTAGGAGATACTCTGACATTAAATATTGCCGGTATTTTCTCTGAGTTTGAATACTTGATCTTTCGCTCAAATAGAAAAATTCAATGAGTTTTACACCTCGCTGACCATCAAACGTAGCCATTTTATTCTCCAAGGGATGCTCTATAACCTACAACAACAAAAAAAGAAAATAACAAAGATTGAAAACGAACAAGTTATGACTTTCAAAACATTCAGTTATTCAGTGGCCAATCTCCAGTAACAATCTAAAAAGCTTACTTCGTAAGTTCATTTTCTCTTTCACTTTAATATATTCAAACGTTATGAATTACATTTCTTCACTATCAGTGATGTTACTTTTTTATGCGGTGTGAACACAGATAAAACATTTTTGTTCTGGTCGACATACATATAAACACCTTCTCAAAATAGATATTAACATATACAGGCTATACTTAGCTTCCTTGTTCGTCACGAGCAAAATATGGAGCGATAAAGCTTATCTTTTGCATCAGAGGGTATAAAAGGAATCCATTTCAGATACAAAGCAGACTAAGAAAACTTGCTGTCACTTGATCTATAGCTAGGAAAAACTTGTGTTAGTTTCATTAAAATTATATTTAGTGTGCGTTATGATTTGCTTTGGTTTATTTTGTTTTAAGGCATATAAAACTGAATGCGTTATTTAATGCAGACAAGATTTTTATTTCTCGCCGTATTTTTCTCCAAAAATGTATTGCTGGTAATATCTTTCTTCAAAAATGCTTTGCTGGTATTAAAACCTACTTTTACAAGTTTTGATCCTAGTCGGGGGTTAACTATTTTCTCATAGATGGGACCCTAACAGGTGCTACCACCTCGGGTCAGGGTGGCCCTGGGGACACCAGCAGTTAAAAGGTGATTCTGCACTCCTCAAAACCTTCTGATCAGGCGCCTTGATGTTGGATGTAGTTTATCGTCTTACCCAGGACGCGGATGAAGTTTATCGTCATACCCAGGACGGTTAGTTTGTATCAAATAATTTGAAAATGTAACCAGAAACAACTACACTGTTTCCCTTAAACAATCATCACAGAGCACACTTCTCAATTATTATAAAACGAAGCTGGCGAGAGCCATGACCCATTGCGTTTTAAAAGGGGTTTAAAGAAGAAAACTATAATTATCACAGTGATAAAATAATGTGCTATGGCAATTTTATATCTATTCTGAAAAAAAAGTATGTTTATATGTTTTTCCTTTAGAGAGGCTTTATTAAATCATTGGTAATGGTCACGAGGAAGACATGTTGTAAACTTGATAATTCTGACACGATCATTTCACCAGCTGAATCTTGTCGTTTATTCACTGTTCCTGCAAAACATGTTACCGACATTATTCTAGCCTTTGTCCAGTCTTCTCCAAAGGCCATACTGGTTTTCTCTCGGAGGAATAAACTGACTGTCTGCTTGCACTTTCGCAACAAATTTGTCTCGAGTTCTCTCGAAGGGTTTCTGTCTTGATAGAATTTATTCAGAGAAACCTCTTTTAATCTCTTTCCTCGTTATATTTATTTTATCTCATACTTTCTCTTTGGCTTCGCTTCGTTTGCTTTACGTTTTTGTTCTCTTCAGATTTTTACTGTTTTCTTCTTCTTCTCTCTCTCTCTTTCTCTCTCTGTCTTGCTATATGTCTATCTAAATCTCTCAGTTCCAATTTACTACGTTCATTTTTTCTGTTATTTTTTCTTTCAAGTTTTCTCATTGTAGTTCGTATTTTTGTTCCTTTATTTTGTTTTTCTTTTCTTCGACTGAATTCAATTGTGCGTGTGTGTATTCTATACTTTTCAGCTTGACTATTCCCCCTAAAACGAGTACAAACGTTGGAATTTATTTATATAGCACATTACCTGTAGCAATATTGATTGACGTACAACTAAAGTCTCAGCCCAGAGTTTGCAGAAATCGAGTATTCATTCTAAATGACAGCTTCATTTGCTTTGTCATCATTTTTATGAAACTCTTTTTCAACCATGTTGAGATTGAAACCAGAGTTTCATGCTCAGAAAATAAACATTTTAACCTGTCGACCACGCACTCATATTTGCCAGAAGTGTACTTATTGATACTGAGAATGTATATTGTATATGGTTTCCATAAGCATCGTTCTTTCTAGAACCGCTAAACGTTATGTTTATGGCCATCAGTTGGTCAATATCAAAATCCTTGCAGATGTTATATATTTCAAGGGTTCAAATAGCGTGAAGTTTCTGATTTTTCAATAATGAGATCGAAAATTTATCTCAAGAATTTATAGCTGTTCGGATTAAATACTGAAGATTTTTCAAGAAATACAGAGACAGACAGATATCTAGGCTCGCGAGTAAATGTGTAAAATCTCGTCGGATATAAATGATTTACAAATTTCAAAATTGGATTATCGAAAAAGAAAGAATTATATTTTCCAGCAGTTAAAACGCGTGCTTCACTCTAGAATACATTATAATGGATTGTTAATTATCAGGGAAAATAAATTTACCTGCGACTTGGTACTGACCATTAAAATATTTCAACTTATTAAATGAATACTTTAATATATATATATATATATATATATATATATATATATATATATATATATATATATATTCAATTAAAAGGTGCAAATATAATTTATAAATTCATGAATCATTCATACAAAAAACAAATATAGAGGTTAATGAATTAAATGGCGAGAATACTTCGTCGCAAACAATATAATAAGATACATCAACCCCGAACCTGTATATGAATGATATGATCCCCGTTTATAAATTCCAGTTGCATAAGGTTCTTTTTAATTTTTTTACAAGCTTTCGTCTGTTCCTACAGACATCATCAGGTATGGAAGTAGATTTTGTTCTTGTTTGTACTTCTCAGTAATAAGAGGACAACGAAAATAGAGATGTAATCCGAAAAAAATTATAATATCTCTCTCTCTCTCTCTCTCTCTATATATATATATATATATATATATATATATATATATATATAATGTATTTGGTTAGCAATCCTTGTCTAAGACATCGTTTATTAAAAATAATATATTGATGTAAATTTCTGCGAATAAAATATTTTTGGGGGCAAAATGTATGCAGAATTTGTTCATGATACGTAATTCTGAGCATCTTCTTTTAAAGTTATTAGCATTTTAGTTGTATAGACGGAGACATATTTTTTTTTTTACTTCTGAACATTACACTGTGTTCGTTTTCCGAGATAATGTTGTTAAGGAATTTTGTTTTTTTCTTAAGATCAGCAATTCTGTTATATTTAGACATTTCTTATAGTGAGATGCATTTTTCTATATTTGTGTTTCGATGAGTAAGCTGCTTACATACATACATGCAGACATACGTACACGCTTGGACGCACGCACACAAACACATACATACACGTACACCCACACATGTACATGCAGACATACGCACACGCGTGCACGCACGTTCACGCACGCACACACACTTACATACACGTACACCCACACTTACATACACGTACACACACATATATACACGTACACACACACACACACACGGACCTCGTTATAGTATATATATATATATATATATATATATATATATATTATGCCTCAATGCTAGCACGACTCGGAGTTTCATGCACGACGCAATCATCAGTTGCGCCATTCGAGTTTTGCTACAGTGAGGGATAATATATGTATTAATATGTATTTAATAGCTCTGTTATATTACATCGTGTACGTTTTTTAACACCAGCATTATATGTGTGATATAGTAGGATTATATATATATATATATATATATATATATAAACAATAAAATCCCAAATCACCTCATATTTAGGCAAAAAAGCTAAAGTTAGAATGGAGTGAATATTATTGAAATATAATAGATAATTAAGTTAAGCGTATATTACTGAAATTTGAATTTGTTTTTATGTCCACATTTTAACACTAATTCATTCCTCTGATATATATATATATATATATATATATATATATATATATATATATATATATATATATGTGTGTGTGTGTGTGTATGTATTTATGAAATATACATAGAGATAGATAGATAGATAGATAGATAGATAGATAGATAGATAGATAGATAGATAGATAGATAGATAAAAAGTGAACTTATCTTTAAACTTAGAGTTTCGCAGACAATATCTGTTTGGCAGTAATAACATTTTTTTAAATAGATATTACATTTATTTTAATATAGATTACGTCCATTATCAATGTCAATTAATTGTGCATTAATATAATGTTGGATTGTTCCAATGTGTATTTAATTATTTTACTTTCATAGAATGGCAATAATTAAATACAATAAATCTTTCTAACTATAGTGTATTACATATTAGTCACATTTAAATTAGAGTAAATTTCATGTATTTTCATTTATTTACTTATGTATAAGAAAGATCCACAAAAAGCAAATGTCGAGTATGGCTAACGAGCGACGGCGCAACCAATAAAACCAACGTGGGTATCTGGTTGGATATGTGATCTTTTGTGTCTGTGTGCGTACTTGTGACTTCATTTTCTGTTCAAGGATTCCTCCAACTAATGTACATACACCGACTACAAGTACCACCGACGCCATTGAGGGCGCAGCATTTTATCCAGCCTTGGCATGTAAGTGATGGGCATTACCTGATTTCTCTTGTTCATTTCTTATGTCTAGACACGCACCTGCAGCTATTTGGTAGATTAGAGGCGCACCTGCCGCGCTCTTTTGCTTCTTCTCCACATGCATGCATTCATATTGACGCCCGGAGAAAATTTCCTACAAAAAGCAAAAAGATACATTCATTTAAATATGTTTTTATCATCATATATATATATATATATATATATATATATATATATATATATATATATATATATGTGTGTGTGTGTGTGTGTGTGTGTGTGTGTGTTTGTGTGTGTGTGTGTGCGTGCGTGTGTATGTGTAGATGAGGTGTTATAAGAATAGAAACAATGTACCTGCAAATCACATGTACTATGGATATTTCCGTTACTCAATAGGATTAGTAATAATTGTAAGACAGTTGCACATCGTATATATATATATATATATATATATATATATGTGTGTGTGTGTGTGTTTGTATGTGTGTAGGTTTGTTTGTGTGTGTATATATATATATATATATATATATATATATATATATACACACACACACACACACACACATACACACACACACACGTATATATAAGTAGCACGACTCTGAGTTTCATGCACAACACCATCTTCAGGTGCTGAATTTAGCCTGACCCACTTGAGTCATCTCTTGAAGATTGTGTTATGCCTGAAACTCAGAGTCTTGCTGCTGGTGTTGAAAAATGTATATTTATTAATATATAATTAATAGCCCAGTTATATTACATCCAGCACTATTTTTTTAACACCAGAATTCAATGTGCGAAAATAATATATATATATATATATATATATATATATATATATATATATAAAGATAGAGAGAGAGACACACACACATAGAGAGAAAGTCAGAGAGGGCGAGGGAGAGAGAAGTGAGATAATGGGATAGATAGGAACAGAGATAGTATATATGCGAAAAAGAGAATCAGATATGTATGAAAACACAATATGATAGTGTATAAAGAAATGTACATATCTTTATACATATTGTCTTTTTTGACAGGGTAACTCTGAGAATTTTTTCATAGATACATAGATAGATATGAAAAACTAAATCAGGTAGATATGAAAACAGAATTATATATATATATATATATATATATATATATATATATATATATATATATATATATGAAAACAGGATTAGATAGATAAGTGATTTTTTTAATGCAATGTACAATTTCAAATTCGTGCAATAATCACCATTGCTTCTGAACAATCACATTCATTTGAACTTTTCCGTTTTCGTTTATGTATACCTTTAAATTTATTCACTCTTTCTTTTCATATTTTTATTCTTATTTTTTTTAATTAAATAATTTTTAAATAAGCAAACCGTTTAAGCAATTACATTGAAATTTGATTCTTTGAAAATTTGATTCTTTGAAATTTGATTCTTTGAAAATTTGATTCTTTGAAAATTTGATTCTTAAGCGACTCCATCTCTGAAATTTCTATGTCCTAAAATTAAACAAAAGACTTCATAATTAGTTGTTTTATAATTTATTACAAACCAATCAATTGTACTATTTTACTTGTATTCAAATATCTTGCTTTTCTGTTTACTATTCTTGTGTAAAAATAAACCAACATGAGTACTAGTCAAGCTTCTAATTTGCTTATATAAAAAATGTACTCAAATCTTTCTCGGTTGGTTTTGACATCTGTCTTCACTTTGAAACGTTTTCCCAATCATTGTTTTCATTCTTGATACAACTTATATGGTTACCTTTCTTAGCTTTGCGTATGTGTGAGTGGTGCAATGTATAGACGTTTGGAATGAGAAATCGGAGAGCCAAGTTCGAATTCCTGTTGTGTTCATTACCTTTATTTACGCGTAAACATCTTTGGAAAATGTAAGAATCCATCTCTTCCTTCTCCACTCCAGCTAGGGTTACATATTACGACTTGCATCTGGGACAAGAATTATTGTTTAAAAAAACATAAACTAATGTTAATGCATCATTCTCTCGCAGGAGATAATTATTCTTGCAATCCCAAATAAGCATCGGCTTTAAATAACCCATAAATTGTACGTCGTGAAAAAAGCAACTAATTTCTTATTTGCTATTTTATTAGTGTTACTTTCTGTTTTATCCTCATTGTCCTCTTCCGCTTATTCTTAATGTTCTTCCACTTTACTTTTTACTTCTGGTCACCATTCTTCTTCTTCTTCTTCTTCTTCTTCTTTGTGCTGCATCGGTTAAGGGCGTGGACGATCATAGCCCTCCACAGCTTTCGATCCTGTGTAGCTCTTAGTAATGTTTTCCTGTTTACTATCTCTCTTACAACTCAAGCTCGTCAAACAGTTGATTCTCTTCCCCTCCTTCCTTTTGACATCAGTATAGTCGGATTGAGGAATCGGAGAGCCGAGTTCGAATTCAAACCGAATCCATTACTTTCACTTACGTGCTACCCAAGCTTCTAATTTGCTTATATGAAAAGAAAAGGTATGAATCGTTTTCTTCTTCCCTTAAATAGCGGGACAGACAGGGTTTTATAGCCTTAGATGGCAACTGATCTACTGCAGAAAGAAATGACAACCTACTGCGGAAAAAGAAATCTGCCTCGTTAGTCGTGTATCGAAAGATACATGATCAGTTAAGTGTGTATCACTTATGGCACATAACTGACTGATATCCTGTAAGTGTCAAATTTTGAAAGCTTTCTTTATTATGTGTCTCGTAAGTTCCAACAATTTTTTTTCTAATTTTGTATGTAACTGATCTTTTTTTGCTTTCATATGACGTTTTTATTGATATTTCTTACGCGTATATTAATATGACACACGAATACAAGAAATGCTTAAGTGTAAAAATTCAAGAACAATCTATCAACTTGCTTTTCTTATCCATTATATTATTGTTAAGGATCGGAGAGAGAGAAAAACGAAAACTGCTGTGTTCTATTTATCACAGAGAACCATATAAGCCCTCTATACGTATGGCTAATGCCGACCTCCAGTAGACCAATTCATGGCGCTTTCTTGGTTTCAAGTTTTTCCAATTACATGACGAAGAACGATTACGCTAAATCTTTTAGTAGATCAGCTGCCAGGAAAGTTGTTACATTGTATCGTGCGAGACAATCTTTCCCGCCATAATCCATCTTGCACGTTTATAAATCTACGTCCCTGCAGATTGAAGATTGCTGATACATCTGTTGCTACTCCTATATATCAGGAGATATTTGATAACATTCAAAGAAGTATCTGCAATGTTATCAACCCTGACCTAGGATCTCGGCTTCAGTTACTTTCGAACAACCGTAACTAAGTTCGATGTACTTTTTCTATACGTACTTCCATGGCAATTTTTCTTATGAGCTTCGCTCTTTCCTACATTGATTTCATGAATATAAGCTTATTAATTGATCGAAAGCAATGTCTTATCCTTTTATTGTTCAAATAGCAAGACGCAACCGTAAGTTCTATTCTAATATTTTCTTCTCTCGCACTTCTGAACTGTGGTAATCTCTTTCGCTTGCCTGCTTTTCTACTATGATCATCGAAAATTTAAATATAGCATCAATTGCTATTTTATGTCTTTTTGAATCCTTTTTTTTATTGCCCTTTCACCCTATTAAAGTGTTATCATTTTCCTTCAGTCTCTATAACCTCTTGCGTCTTAGTGGCATCATTGCCTTTCGTCGTTGAAATGACTGAAAAGAAAAGATAAACCTCCTAAGAACAGCAAATGCAAATTGGATGCAAATAAAAATAATTAAATATATAATCAAATAGTATCGGCTATTAGTCCAGAAATAAAGAGAATAAAAGGCGGGAGAATAGTGTAAACGACAGTGTTTTAATTATACAAACCTATGGTTTAGACACAGAGCAGAATCTTCTCTAGTGAATAAAATAAGTCAATTCGTCTAAGATGCTGAGATTGATTAGAAATATGGTTCTACAGAAAGTTGCCGAGGAAATCATGGACGGATCATGCGAGCATCAGGTTTTTATAGAACAGAAAACAAAAAAAAAAGGAAATTTATACTTAACATCAGGAAGAGGGAGTTGAAATTTCTCAGACACGTAATGAGGAAGGAGAGCTTGTAAAATTCGACTCACAAGACAGATCGAGAGAGAGAGAGAGATACAGAAGAAGACATAGCGTAACATACTTGATGAGCTTCAGTAAATGGATGGCAGAATAGAGTTTGGGAGAAATAACCAAAAGATAAAATTGATTAAGAAATACAAAGGGCGGGAAGATGTGGAGGACCATGATTGCTTGCGTCTTGAAAGAACACAACGCATAAGAGAAAGCAAGAAAGGGACAGGTGGCACATTGAGCAATCTACTTAAATGGCTGACAGAAGCGAATGTGCAAGGGCTAATAACTAAACAAACATTGCTTAGCGTTAAAAAAAAGGCTTACGACTACATCACATAAAACTCATCGATTCCAGTACGATCACCGAAGTTAAACAATGTCAAGTCTATTTTAGCGCACCTTAATGGTTGACTAATTGGGAATGTGTGGGTGGTGTGATAGATAATGGCTCAAAATT